AATTGTAAGTATATGTAAATTGTGTGTTAGTATTCCTGCCTTTGGACTATGCTGTTAGAAAAGATTCACAGCGTTTCCCTGATTTGCAGTTGAGATTGCTAAGCACATTAGTATTACAACATGATTATACATTGTTTTTTAAACTCTCTTTCACCATCTCTGTATAATTGCCCCATTATATAAAATGTACTGTTCTCTAAACTGATGAAGCAAATTTGAATTATGTGCCTGTGTGATAAAATTCAATGAAAATATTTTTTAAAAACTGAAGTCCCGAAGTAAAACTTAGATATTTGGACACTCTACTCAATCTTCTACAAAAGCCTTAAATCATGAAAATGCTACTTGTCTTTCCAATATATATTTAATCACATTCCCTAGTCAGTTCTCAGTTGAGCTTCTCTTTCCCTGTCAACATTTTCATTTTCAAGGAATAAAGCATAGGCAGTAATAAACATTTTGTTATTTTCATTAAAGAGTGGTTAAATTATTAGTAAAAGTTAGCCTTTCAGCATTAAAAACTGGTCAAAATACTTTGGTAAGATTAGGATCACAAGGTTAAAGAATAGCATGAAATCATACAATTTTTTAGTGAAATCACAATATGGCTAGCTCAAAAGAGAAAGAATATAAACTCAGTATTACTTTTCTTCAAGTGTCTACTGTTGAAGATGTAAGAAAATCAGATTTCCTCTAGGGAGGGAAAAAATGGAATAAGCATAATGCTGACATTTCTATAAATTCAGCCAGTAGACTCAAACACTGTTTGAGAAAGTATTAAAAATTCTAATCATTATTTTTAAAAGCACTCTTAATTAAAGTCCCTGTGGCTGATTTTTCAGATTTGCTATATAAATAGACCATGTTTGTGTTTGCTTTGTAGATACAGTCTATAACTAGCCTCTGAGTTTCATTATTTATAAAAACTGATTTGCTTGAGTATTATAAAGCTAATAAATGAAATTATTTTCTTTTGTTACTTTTAAAATTGTTTAAATTAACCCAATTTTAGATTTAGTGATTCAAGGACATTACCAATCATTTGCAAGCAATTATAATTGATAATTCAGGTACATATTTCCTGTCATGAGGGGTGCCTGGAAGGTTTATACAGTCATATAAACATTATCAATTTATTTTTCAAAATGTGAGAGGTTTGAGGGAGTTTTCTTTTGAATAATTATTGCAGCTCCAATAGCTTAAATTTTAAACACAGCCTAAAACTTACACAGTTTGAAGTAAATAGTCAGCTGGTCACATAACAACCCTACTGCACACTCAAGCATTATTAATAAAAGATTCTTTCAATAAGTCTAGAAATGTTCCAATGGCACCAAGTTGGAAGCCAATTCAAAGTCAAATTAATAGGCCAAAAACAATCCCAAACCATGCAAATAATATGAATTAGTAATGAAGCTAAAATTATTAAGGTGAATTCTCTTTCTGCATTCTTATTAAATCTTTATAGACATTTCCTCTTCTGATTTAATAAGACTATCTGACTCATAAGACAGAGTCACGTTATATCCCACAAATGAAAATATGGATGAGCCCACGCAAACACACAATTCCCTGGTTTTGTTCTATGGTAATTTAAATTTGCTTTGACAGGGCTGAATCAATACAAATCATCTATCTCCTATAAAAGAAAATCCAACATAGAAAAACAATCCCAAACGAGAAGACTGCCCAGCTAGTAGTCTTAAAAATTTAAGAACTGATAGGAATTCGATCTGGACCATGTGTATTTGCAGTTTGCAGCAGATCTGAGGTGGCATCCCTCCGGTTTGTTTTTCCTGGCCGTGGGAGATGTGTCATGCACATACTTGATAACTTGATAATTATGTCCTGAGGGTACTTATATTATTTTTTTAATGCTCCATGCTTTCCTATTTTCACTACTAGGAGTGGTTAGAAAACTCTCTTTACACATTTAAAACTGCCAAATGTAAACGTATTGTATACACAAAGTAGCGATAAAAGGAGTCATTCTGTCCTCTACCCCTGCCTGCACTTTCCCGACTGCAGCCTCCCTCTTCCCACCATCTTCTTCCTCTCCCTTGGAGTGAAGCAGCACCTTGAATTTGCATTAACCATTCCCTTTTTTCCTTTACACTTTTCCCATCAATGTGGATATTTCTGAATAACATATTGTTTCAATTTTCCCAGTTCTGAAACTTAATTAAATGGAATAATACTATAGCATTCTTTTACAACTTGCTTCTTCTGCTCACTATTAAGGTTTTGACATCCATCCATGTGGATGTCAGTAGCTAAAGCCATTCATTTTCCCAACTGTATGGCACACCATGGTATAAATCTATGACAGTTCATCTATTCTATTAGATGGTTATTTATTTCCAGTTTGAGGCGCTTATCAAAGTATGGCCGTGAATACCCTTGTGACTTTAGCCACACCTGGGCAAACATCTAGGGAAGGGACCGTTGGGTGGTAGGAAAGGCACAAATTAAACTTTACTGGTGAATGCCAAGGACACAGTACCATTTACACGGCCACCAGCTGTATGTGATTTCTTGCTGCTCCAGAGCCTCACTAACGACCGCATGGTCAGAGTACCGAAGTTGGACCAAACCAGTAGGTGGGAAACTTGGAGTACGGCACTGTCAGATACTTTTAATGGTTAAATGTGTTGCCAAAAAACTCTCCTAGGGGCGCCTGGGTGGCTCGGTTAGTTAAGTGTCTGCCTTCAGCTCAGGTCCTGATCCCAAGGTCCTGGGATCCAGTCCCACGTCAGGCTCCTTGCTCCACGGGGAGCCTGCTTCTCCCTCTCCCTCTGCCCCTCCCCCTACCTGTGGGCTCTCTCTCTCACTCTCTCTCTAACAAATAAATAAAATCTTTAAAAAAAATTCTCCTAGTCTGTGGTTATCTTTTTTTCTTTTTAGGTGCTATTTGATAAACAGGGTTTTCACTTTAGTGTAGTAAAATTTACACATATTTTCCTTTATGATTTGGTAATTTTTGACTAGACTGGTTTACAAAAAAAAAAAATTGTTCCTTCCACTAAGTTAAAAGCTCCAAATTATAGATTTATAGTTTAATAGTATGGCCCTTCACATTTAACCCAGATGGAATTACTTTATGTGCAGACTCATGAAATAGAGATCCAGTTTTAATACTTTTGTCCATGTGCATAACCAGCTGTCCCCAACCTTTCCTGGAACAGCCCATCCTTTTACCACTTATCAACGTCACGTTTGTCACTGAGCCACTCCCCCTTTTCTCTGAGGCACTACAGCATTATTAAGACATGTTTAGTTTTGAATTCCTATGATTTACCTTCATAGAATCCCTTAGGATTACTGTGTCTGAGAACTGATTGGTGTCTTTTAATTGTTCCAGAAAAAAAAAAAATCCCTTTTATGCATTCCTTCTGTACCTACGTTTGGAAGCCCAAATGAACATACATTTTCCCACTCTGTACTCCATACCTCCCACATATTTTATATTTTACATTATCTTATTCATATTTCCACATTTTTAACTCTCTGGACCGAATGATGTGTAATTTCTTCAGTTCTACCTTTCGGTGTACTTATTTTTCCTTCAGCTGTGTCTAATCTGCTTTTAAACTCATCCACTGACCATTTTCTTTCTGAAGTATTATGTTGCTTGATTAGTAATTCTCTGGTTCTTTTTCAAATCTACTGTTCCTGCCTCACATTATTAAGCTTCTTCTTTTTTTCTTTAATTATATCAAATATTGTCATTTTGATTCCATCTGAAAATTTTGATATCTGACAGCACTTCACCATTTTTCTTATCTATTGTTCCCATTGATTCTCACCCATAATACTTTGAATTCTTGTGTGAATGTGTGGGTTTGGGGTTTTTTTGTGGGGGGAGGAAGGGGTTGTTTTTAGTATTAGCCATTCATTCCCCAGAGTACTTTACCTGTGGAAATTCTTTGAAGATGGGATTGAAGTTGACCTCCTCCAGAAAGAAGTAGTGTTTCCTAGTCTCCTGTTACCACTGCTCATGACAGAGCAATTAATTTAAATTCACCACTTAGATTTTGTCAGTTTACACACGTAATGCAACTGGAACATTTTTTCCCATTAGTTCGGTGATGTGCTCAATAGGTTTAAAAATGTTAAATAGTGTTAAATATTTTTTAAAAAATTCTGACACAGCATTTTAATAATTTTAGTCAGAAGGGACACTCAGAATATCTAATTTGCCATAACTCCAGAATTAGGAATGTACCACATTTTGAGGCTTTCTTTTCTCTATATTTTTAACTCAAATTTGATGAGCTGTTATAAAAGGGCTGCCTTACATTCATGGTTACTTCTCCAAATACACGATTTCTGGTTTATAAGAGTTCACAGTAATAATACTCCTGGGATCCACTGGGTCCTGGCAAGACTATAGGTAGGTGACCTCATCCATTCTTAGAGGTAGATCTTAGATTGCAGAGAGCCATCAGTACCAAAAAGAGTACAGTGTACCAGGAGCTAATTTTCTACCATTTTTAAATTTCCTCAGTTACTGGGCTCCAACCTTCAAGCTCTGCCACATTAAAAAAAAAAAAAAATGCAGAAGTAACCCTGAGTGCTGAGGCTTCATCAAGAACATCTGTACATTACCTGAAGGAAGCTGTTCAGATCCACCATTTTCTTGTCTCTTCATTTCATGCTTTTTTGGATTATCTCTGCAACTCCGATTCTCACTACCATCCTTGGTTGGTAGTGTTGAGTTGGTCACTGACAAGTTTTTCCTTGGTCTAACACTTCAGCTTTCTTTTCTCCAAGGCGATGAGCCTTTCACATACATTTTCCCATTTTGGACATTATTCCATTTGTTCTTTTCTTGGATCTATGAGTTATCTCTAGTTAACCCTCATCCTTCTTGAGTAACCTACTTGTTTAAATGTGTAAGTTACATAAGTAGAACTCAGAACAGAATTTCTTGCCCCCGCCCCGCCCCACCCGCCGTTAAAGGTATGCTACTACTCAAACCAAACTGCAGAGAAGGTTACCTGAATTGGTCTTCCATCAGGTGTCAGCACCTCTTCTGAAAGTTCCATCATCTTGAGTGCCATCAGAGCAATGGGCTTAGCATGGCAGAGGCTTTTCCTATGGAGTCCTGCAGCAACACAGTACGCATCGCCTATTGTTTCCACCTGCAGCCATCAGACAAATCAAATGCAAACATATGATAATGAGCCAGAAGAGAAATGATTAGTTATGTGCAATCACAAATGTTGCTGAAAACATGTCAGCAAAACATCAATAAATTAAGCAATTAGACAACTGAGTGTAATCAGAGCAGAATTTGCAGACGGCTAGCCAAATACTGACATCTCACTCTAGGGCTGTTCATCCACGTTATCACCATAGATGATCACTGAAATTGGGAACAACTGGAATATAGAACAATTATCCTCCACAAAAAAAGAATTGCCAGTATTTTGCCTGAACAATTTCCAAATAATGACCTTTTACAAAGCCACCCTCTTGTTTCCTTCAAACTTCCAATACTGGTAATATTTAAGAGATGAGAAACTGATGTGCAGAAACCCATCCATAATCTTACAAATAGAGAGTTAACAGACACTGTCAGAGTCTTTTCAGACCCTATTCTAATTTTATTGTCAGCATCCATTCCATTCTAAATAGCCACTGCTTTTGTTATAATATTTTAAGTATTTACCCCAGACTAAACTCCTCAAATTTCCAAAGCATATAGCATGGTATAAAAACTGGGCACAACTTATTTTCAGAGGAAAGTTCTCTAATTATCCAAAGTATATGGTGGTATACTTTGGATAATCTGCAAATGATATAACTAATAAGTGGTTAATATCCAAACAATATAAAGAACTCATACAACTGAACACTAAAGAACACAAATAATCCAATTAAAAATGGGCAGAGGACCAGAAAAACCCTTTTCCAAAGAAAACATACAGATGGTCAACAGACCCATGAAAAGATGCTCAGCATCACAAATATGCAGGGAAATCCAAATCAAAACCACAATGAGATATCACCTTACACTTGTCAGAATGGCCAAAATCAAAAAGACAAGAAGTAACAAGTGTGGGTGGGGATGTGGAGAAAGAGAAACCCTCATACACGGTTGGTGGAAATGTAAATTGGTACAGCCACTGTGGAAAACAGTATGGAGGTTCCTCAAAAAAATTAAAAATAGAACTACCATATGATTCAATAATTCCACTTTGGGGTATTTACTGAAGGAAAAGGAAAACACTAACTTGAGAAGACATGCACCTGAAGGTTTATTGCAGCATTATTTATAGTTAGTCAAGACAGAGAAGCAACCTAAGTGTCCATCAGTAGATGAACAGATAAGGAAAACATGGGATATATACACCCCAGAATATTACACAGCCATAAAAAAGATGAGATTGTGCCATTTGAGACAACATGGATGGACCTAGAGGGTATTTATGCTAAGTGAAATAAGTCAGAGAAAGAAATACCTTATGATTCCAGTCATAAGTGAAATCTTTAAAAAAATGAATAAACAAACAAAAAGCAGCAGAACTATAAATACAGAGGACTGCTGGTTGCCAGAGGGGAGGAGGGGGGAGGTGGGTAAAATGGGTGGAGGGGAGTGGGAGATACAAGCCTCCAGTCATGGAATGAGTAAGTCAAGGGAATTAAAACAGCATAAGGAATACAGTCAATGTTACTGTAATAGCAATGTAATGGGACAGATGGTAGCTGCATTGTGGTGAGCACAACATAATGTATAAACTTGTCAAATCACTAAGTTGAACACCTGAAACTAATGTAACATTGTGTGTCAACTATACTGAAATTAAAAAGTATATGGTGATAAAATCCTCAATGATTCTAATATTTTAATTAGAGCAAAGTGATTAAATATTTTATTAAATGTCCAAATCCAATACCACCTTTTCTATGAAACCCTCCATGGTCCTTCCATTGGATTTTAGCAGAGGTAACCATTTCTGCTGTTCTGTTTCAACAGCACTTTTCATACCTCTTTGCTACAGGCTTTCATCATAGGTTATGATCAAGATGTATCCCCAACTGTGATGTCAGCTCTTTAAGAATGGGACTATTTTTTTCATCTCTATATTCATAATGCTTATCATGGTTTCTAAAATATAGCTATTTAATAAACACCTACCAAATGAATAAATAAATCAGCCATGTTTATTATGATTTTAATAAGTCATTCTAATTGTGTGTTCATTTTCACCATTCATTTCATGAGCACATGTACATGTGTGCAGAAAAAAATTGTCTCTGAATGACTAGAGATGCTTTTATCATAAATATACCAAAGCTTACAAAATATGCTATTAAAGATTTAATAACCATAATTAGATTTCATGCTGAATGCATTCTAACAATATAGTATTAAAAAGATGTACTGAATTAAATTCTGTGGGTGCTAATTTAGGGGATATGGTGAGAACCGTTAAGCTAGGAATGCCAAAAGACCATTTGGTCACCAAAATCTTATAAGGAAATATGCATCGAAAATTGTTCCGATAGCCTCAGACTCATCATTAATTTCAACATTTTCACTTCAAGACCTGTTTTCTCGTGCCAGAAAAATGGAAATAAAATCATAGGGTAAGAAAAGAAAAACAGTGCAATGTGAGTCAGCAAAGTTTTTACTCCAAAGGCTGAAATATACTTCCCCCAAGGTATTCCCACTGAGGAAGATATCCAGTAAAAAATAAATGTCTAAAATGTGTCAATCTGGGGCACCTGGGTGGCTCAGTTGGTTAAGCGTCTGCCTTCGGCTCAGGTCATGATCCCAGGGTCCTGGGATCGAGCCCCGCATCGGGCTCCCTGCTCAGCGGGAAGCCTTCTCCCTCTCCCTCTGCCGCTAGCCCTGCTTGTGCTCTCTCTGTGTCAAATAAATAAATAAAATCTTTAAAAAAATGTGTCAATTTACTGTTTTCCCCCTAGAAACACAGGGATCTCTTCTAATCCTCATATTTATCTCATCCTTTTGTATTTCTATACACTTTGATTTTTTATGTTTTTATATAAATGCCAGGTAACACACAGTGTAATATTGTTTCAGGTGCACAATAGAGTGATTCAACACTTCCATACATCACCCGGTGCTCATCACGTAGGTGCACGCCTTCATTCCCATCACCTACTTCACCCATGTCCCCACCCACCTCCCCTCTGGTGACCATCAAAGTGTTCTCTGTAGCTAAGAGTCTGTTTCTTGGTTTGTCTCTTTTTCCCCTTAGCTCACTTGTTTTGTTTCTTAAACTCCACATATGAGTGAAATCATATGGTACTTGTCTTTGACTGACTTCTTTTGTGAAGCATTATATTCTTTAGCTCCATCCATGCCATTGCAAATGGCAATATTTCATTCTTTTCCATAGCTGAGTAATATTCCATTGTGTACATATACTACATGCTGTGAGCTATGTGCTTTGAAACTAACTTCTGATTTTCAGATATCAGAACACATAGGCAATTATTTGTATAAACAAACTGCTTTACAGCCCCTGTGAACATGCATGCTCCTGGAGCATGACCACTTCTTGAAATCCCTATCCTCCTCTCCCTCAGCAAATATCATCCTCATTATCATTTTAGCAAAAGTTTATTGAGTTCCATGAAATGTGTATTTCTAGAATTTTTACCATAAGAATACAGGTGAGTTATATGTTGCACTTTCTCTTTTAGCAGTATATAATGTAGAAGTATGGAGAAGATGGATCAATAGGTTACCAATGGATATGACACATAAATCTAATAAAGTGCAAGACAAATGTGTACACAAAAGAATAAATTCACATTAAAATCTATATGTGATCATGCAAGCTTTTACACTACTTAGTTCTCAAATATTTGAAGTCAGTTTAACTCTCAGAAACAACAGGATCAAGAACTAGGCAAGAAAACAGACATCAAAAAATAATGGCCCCTATCAAGATGTACAATTCTCATAATAAATGCCCAACCTATAGAAAAAATCTAAAAGATGGTTCCATCATGCTAGGCTAGATTATGTTGCAATCACAACCTAACTTCCAAATCTGCATGCATAACAAAGGCTGATTTTTGATTCATGCTATGAATTCATGTGGATTAAGGGATTGGAGGACAGGGGAGAAATATGGTGCCATGTCTCTTCACTCTAGGAACAAGGCTAACAGAAGGTCCCCAACTGGGGCTGGTTGCCATGGCAGGGAAAGACAGGTTCTGACAAACGGTGCACCAGTTCGTGCAGCTTTCTCCCAGGAGTGACATACAGAGCTTCTCCGGATTCATTCACCAAAGCAAGTCACATGGCCAAGCTTAATGTAAAGGAGATGGGAAAATTCAACCACCCTTGTGCCCAGACACGAGCCAGAAATATTTGATGAGCAGCACTAGTAAGCACATGAACGAATAGGTAATAGCTTAAAATTTTTCAAACATCCAGATGTCGGTAAAGTGCAGGTAATGTATCTCTATGATATTTTCTCTTTCCTTACAGATATATTCAGCATCTTAACCTGAAAATCTTGACAAAAAAGCTACCACATTAGTAATACATCCTTCCACAAAAGTTCTATTTTTCTCTCCTCTCCCTTCATTTAATTCAGATCTGTGCAAGTTTAGCAGAATTAAGTATATGTGCAAATTTTAGCAGATTCCCTTCAAAAACATTAGCTGATTTTGCTTCACAGGGAGCAGAAAAAGTAAAAACATTAGATATCCATTACATTTGCTCCTGAGGTGGTTTCCTTGAGTTAAACCAGTTAAACAGGTGGACATTGTAAACATACTAAAAAGACAAAAATAAAAACCTGTCTGGAAAGTTGACTATGTTCTGAATTCCTTTACAACTGACTCAGTGGTTTTAAATAAGATCTTAAATACAACAGACACCATCTAAAATAATGCATCTCAGTTATTTTTGATGTCTCCAACCTGTTCTTGAATGACATTAGAGAAGAATAAAGATTGGCTAACCTAGTCATGGAGATGGAAAAGATAGTCCTTGCATCCTTTTCTGAACACAGAAGAGGAGGTTTATGCACTAAAAATATTATGTACAACTGTTGCCCCATATATTATTATAGATGCTTTTATCATACTAAAAAATGTACCCATCTTGGACTATCATCTTTTCAACCCTTTATAGTAAAAGTCTGCACAT